GCACAGAGCTGAACCGAAGTGTAGGTTTAATGGGTACCGGCACTAGGTTTAAACACAGTGCTGAATTACACCTGAACTCACACATTCTGAGAAATTTGACCCTGTGCACAACCTCCCATTGCATATAGAGTCATAGAGCTGCACAACACAGAGACAGACCCTTCGGTCCAACTTGTCCATGCTGACCAGACATCATAAAATAATCATAGAATCCCTACAGTGTGGAAACAGGCCCTTCGGCCCAACAAGTCCACACCACCCCTCCGAAGAGCATCCCACCCAGACCCATTCCCCTATCCCTGCATTTCCCATTTCTAACCCACCTAACCTAAACATCCTTGGGCACTGTGGGCAATTTAGCATGACCAATCTAGTGCAATTTTTCATGCAGAGGGTGGTGCTTGTATGGAATGAGCTGCCAGAGGAAGTGGTGGGGTCTGGTACTATTACAACATTTAAAAGACATCTGGATGGCTATATGAACAGGAAGGGTTTAGAGGAAAATGGGCCAAATGCTGGTAATCGGCCGCACGGTGGCTCAGTGGTTAGCACTGCTGCCTCACAGCGCCAGGGACCTGAGTTTGATTCCAGCCTCGGGCAACTGTCTGTGTGGAGTTTGTACATTCTCCCCGTGTCTGCATGGGTTTCCTCCAGGTGCTCCAGTTTCCTCCCACAGTCCAAGTCAATGAATGGAGAGCACATTGAGTGAAGAGTGTTTTTTATTATTTCTTAGAGAAAAAAATTGCTAAATTCCTTGCCTAGCTTGAGAGAAAAGAAAGTCACATTTTACAGCCAGCACTTTAACATTAGCATAAGAAGTGGCACATGTGCAGAACATTCTGCCCATCAAACCTACCCCACCATTTAATGCAATCTTGGCTGATTTTGGGTTTCAACTCTATTTTACCATCTGCTTACAATATCTCTCAATTTCCAGACAAGCCAAAAGTCTTGACTATCCCATCCTACAATGTATTCAACAATAAATCATCCAGAACCTTCTGGGACACAGAATTCTAAAGATTCTCCACTCTCAGACTAAAGACTTCATCTCAGTTCGAAATGATTGGCCCCTTATCCTAAGATTGTGCCCTGTGTTCTAGGTTTTCCAGCCAGAGGGAACCACCCTCTCAGTGTTGGCTCTGTCAAGCTCCTTCAGAATCTTAAAAATTTAGGGGGAGCCATGCAGCTCGATTGGGATGGCAGGTCAAATCAAAGGAACAAAAGAATTAAACTAATGAAGGAGAAACCGAGACAGAAAAGGAATAAGAGCCACAGTCTGAAAAAGGAAGAGAGAAAAATGTCAAAGAGAAACTAAAGTAGAACATCTCAAAGCAAGGAAGGTGAAATAAATTGAGTTCTTAATGATACATGGAGATTAATTTTGTAAGTAATGCAGGACATCAGAACATAATCATGCAACTTTTATATTTAAAAATGTATTGAACAGCAAGAATGTCCCTTTTACTTGGTGGGGGCTATTTAAAATTTAAATGATGGTATAGAAAACTCTATTGAACTGACCATTCATTAGATACCCTCTCCAAATTCCCCTTTAACTGACATCAATTCAATCTTGTCCATTTCTCAACCACAGTTGAAATGAGTCCTGGAGTAGATGTCTAACTGCTGAACAATGCATTGTGTTCGAGCTTGCCTTTGCCTTGCTATTTTGGGCGCTGACAGCTTGCTGGTCTCCCTTGAATCTAGTCCCACTAACACACTGGGATCTTCTGCCTCATCCCCAATCCCTCTGTTTTGTCCTTTGTGATATTCTCGACGCCACACAAACAGAATCCGATGTCCCCCCGACCTCCAACCAACTCAGTTTTGTACAACTGCGGAGTTGAGGTCCTAGGGTATGGCCATTAGTGTGTACATCCAGCTACTTGGAGTTGGAAATGAGAGTTGTGGGACACCAGTTACCCCTCCCTTCACCCCATTTGACAGAGGTGCCAGGGGGCCAAGTGTCCTGGTCCTCACAAGCACCATGCACACACCCCAAGTTCCAGTCAAAACAAAATGAACCTTCAATTCGTGTGGAAACATGTCCTTCTGAAATGATCTCTTCTACATCTGTGGAAGGTTAACGCTGCTCTGGAACAGGATATAGTGAGTAAGTTGTAGCACAGGGAGGCAATGGTATAATCATTAGACTGTTAATCTAGTGATCCATGTAATATTCTGGGGTTCTAGGTTGAAATTCTACCAGGGTAACTGGCAAAGTTTGAATTCAATAAAAATCTGGAATCGAGAGTCAGTGCCCAATGCTGGTTGTTAAGAATGCCCATCTAGTTCACTATCCTCTGTTAGGGAAGGAAACTGCCATCCTTACCTGGTCTGGCCTACATGTGACTCCAGACCCACAGCAATGTGGTTGACTCTTAACTGCCCTCTGGGCAACATCAGTGAAGGCATTAAAAAAAAGTCATTTACATGGCTCAAACTGGGCTGTAGATAGCAGGTTATCACAGAGCATCAGGTTGTATGCATATTGTACAATTCATTCGATAATCTCTAGCTTATATTTCTGCTCAAAGGTTTTGCAATATTATTTGTAGAATATCACTTTACATTCTGCAGACACTTTAGTTGATGCTGAAAAGTTCAACTTTACTGCATAAGACCAAAAACTCCCAGATTTTAAACTACACTGAAGTGTTGCAGCCTACCCATCTCAAATTGACAATCGTAAAGTGAAAGAAGCTTTTTTTCTTTTTCATGTGATGAGGGTTTTCCTAATAGCCCTTGAACTGAGTGGCTTGTTGGGCCATTAAAGAGGGCAGTTATGAGTCAACTATATATCTACACATTTGGAGTTTTATGTAGGCCAGACCAGGTAAGAATGGTAGATTTCCCCTTGGTACACCCAATGGTTTTTAAAACAACAATGATAGTTTGATAATCGCTGATGGCTAACTTTTTAGTTTAGTTGGTTGAGTTGAAATTCCACCAACTGTTGTATTGGGTGTGAACTCTCCTTAAGAGTTTGGATCATGAAGTTAGTAATGCCATGAACATTACCATTGTGCCAATATATCTTCTGGAGTAGAATACTTGAGTATAGCTACCTCAGCTCCTAGACTATTCTTTAAATGATTTAGGTATAATTTTAAAACTGGGGTCGGGGGGGGGGCGCGCTTACAATTTTTCAATTTGTCTGCTTTTTCTCTCATTTATTTTCTGACTCTGCATTCCCCATGAGGAGTAACAAGGGCATATCAAAATTTTTGGCAAATATCAATGTTAATTCTGAGTGGGTGATGCTCCCCAGTGAAAACACAATATCAAAACAAACATATTCAGATCTCGTGCTTTTTCACGTTAGAGATTTCCCAGGTATTACTTACAGTGTCTCTGAAATGTGTGAAAATGTCTGATACCCAGTGAATTGAAGTATGGTGACTGTTGTCACATAGGTAAGAGAGGGAACCACATTGTCTTTAGAAAGGTCTGAAAGTGGTGTGCTCAACAGTGACCTGTGAGGGACCTGGAATGTCCTTGGAGCTGCTGAGTTTCAGCCAGACTTTCTGATACCCTCAATGGGATGTCCTGAATGCTCACCTGTAGTTTCTGGTGGTAAGTCTAACTATTGTGATACACATACTGTCACAATTGTATTTTACAGACTGGGAGGACAAGAGCATTTTTCTTTATCAGTCACTGTTCACAAATCTAAAACCCATCATTTTCTAAATGTTTTTGTGTGATGGAACCATCTGAGAGATGATACAAACTTTTTTTTTGATCTACAGTTCCGGAGATAAGGAAAGAAAGTGGAGTTGAGGGTAATCAGATCATCCATGATCTCATTGAATGGTAGAACAGACTTGATGGGCTGACTGGCCTACTTCTACCACTATATCTTATGGGCTTGGGGACTGCCACAACAGGCAAATTAGGAGATGTCTAAAATTATCCTGTGGTATCTTTATAAGGGAACACATAGCCTGTGAAGAGGAAATCAACAAGCCTACACTCCTGAGTTCCATATTTATACACAAAGAGCAGCAACTTCAACCTCAAACCTTTCCCTGTATTGTCCGGCTAGCAGCTAGAGTTACATCACCAAGTTGTGGAAAGGGAGTAGCCTTGCAGTGAAACATGCTCCCTTCAGTCACCATCCAGCTGTAATCCCAACTGGCAATTATATTCTCATCGCAATCTTTTTGACAAAGGCTGTCTATCACTAGGAATGAAGTGTAAACTCCTCCTGATTATATTCTGTCTGTGAAATGCCCAAACTGAATTGTGTTTTATATCAGCAACTCCACATCCTCTCACTGTGTAATGATGCAAATTCACATGGGTATGAGTTAATTCGGAAGAGATTGCAACAAAACCTCCAATCCTGAAGTTGATTCAAAATGATCTTGATTCAATTCATTTGTTTTTATTTTTTCACGAGATGTGGGCATCACTGGTGGGTGTTATGCCAATCTCTAATCAACCTTTCAGAAGGTGGTGGTCAGCTGCCTTCTTGAACCGTTGCAATCCATTATTGCAAGAGCTACACCCATAATGCCATTAGGGAGGGAGTTCCAGGATTTTGACCCAGTGACAGTGGAGGAACGGTGATATATTTCCAAGTCAGGATGGTGAGTGGCTTGGCAGGGAACTTGTAGAGGGTGTATTTGCTGCCCTTGTCCTTCTAGATGGAAGCAGTTGTGGGCTTGGAAGATGCTGTAGGAGAAATGTAATGAAGTCAATAAAACAAGATTTTTTTCTGATAAAGAACTTGAAATGTTAAACCTGCTTCTCTCTCCAGAGAGGCTACCAGATCTGCTGAGTTTTTCCAGTGATTTATTTTTGTTTCGGATCTCGAACATCCACAGTTCTTTGTGGATAAAACAAGATTCAGGTGACTCGTGAAGAGCAAAATAAAGCAATTTGTCCTTTTGGTGTAAATAAAGGAGGAGGATTTACTAAAGCAATATTCTCTCTTCTCTTCAGTTTTGGGTATAACCGATGGATTAAACAATATTCTTCTCCTTTCTCAGTTATTGTCGTGCTCTTTGCTGCCATGAGAAAACAGAGAAAGAAGGAGCCTCTCATTATTTCCAAAGAGGATATCCGCGACAACATTGTCAGCTACAATGATGAAGGAGGTGGTGAGGAGGACACACAGGCCTTTGACATCAGCACACTGAGAAACCCAGAGGTAATCGAAGACACTCAGCTACGCAGAGACATTAAACCAGAAAACTTTCTTCTCCCACGACCAGCTCCAACCATACCAGATAACACCGACGTCAGAGATTTCATTAACCAGAGGTTAAAGGAGAATGACACAGACCCAGGAGCACCTCCTTATGATTCTCTGGCAACGTACGCCTACGAAGGGAATGGGTCCATCGCTGAGTCTCTCAGTTCCTTAGAATCAGTTACCACAGAGACAGACCAGGATTACGATTACTTGAGTGACTGGGGACCAAGGTTCAAAAAACTGTCAGACATGTATGGAGGAGAGGACAGTGATAGAGACTCTTAGCAAGGGAACAAAAAAAACCATCCCTTTAAATTCAGCTATCAAAAAAAATGTGTTGCTGTGTAAACACAAGGGGCCATTTTTCAAAACCTATCCCAATAAGCAAACATTTATTGTGAACTGTTGGACTTTATTCCATATAATTCATGGTCTCAGAATGGTTCCAGTGTGATATGTGTGTCATTTACCCTGCATTTATTGAGTGCCCACAAGAACCCGACTCAGTGTCTATGGGAATTTATACCGTAATTATATGCCTACACTAGCCACTGGTGCACTAGTGGAGACACAGGTTATGTTGCTCATTCTGTTTCTCATATAGGAATATTTCACAGGTAATACTGTCTGCACAGAGGAATAGAAAATGTGTTAAAATAGGGATGTGCATAGAGCAAGTTCTTGAAAATGGCCTGAGGCAAATGTTTGATGGTTTTTGTGGAAGATCTAAGTTGGAGCCAAACATTAGACCACAAATGCATGGTTCAGGTTTGAAGACACATTTGGGCTGCTCTCCTCACGTTATGTGGATGCAGGACAGGAGCTGCTTGCAGGAGAAGAGGAGAACCGTATATTCACAGGAGTGGTTATACATGCAACAAGTTGTGTCCATTGAGCTGCATGTGAAAACGTGCATCACAACAACATATGCTTGCTGAGGAGGTGAAAGGTTATAAGATTTACACTCACGCCATTGAACTACAAGCCTCGGCCTACTCAGAAACTTGCTGGATTCCCCGAGGTTTATTTACAGCCTTAGACCCTAAAGCCTGCTGGCCAGCACATCCCTTTGGTAAAATTAGTAAATTAGATGTTTGAGCTGAACATGTGGTTGAGTCAACTGTTTCTTTCACAATGTACTGTACTGTAACTTAGATTCAGTATACAAAGATGCATACATATTGTATGCAGAGCTGTATTATGTAGTGTCGATGTGAATCACTACAGGTACGTCTTAAAACAGAGTTAATCTGCTTGGTGTTGTTGACAGTTTGATGCTGCAGCGGTTTTCGAAGCTGCACACCTTCCCGTAATGAAACATCGTTCTCTTTTATTTACTTGTCCGAAACGTTGCAAAGTTAAAATCACTTCAGAACTTTGAATTCCCGAGGAAGCACCAGTAACTTTTCTCACTACCGAGTGCTGCTAGCTGTGGAAAGTGTTGCAGAATGTACCGACACAGATTCAGCTCTTCCAATTCAGAGTGAAACCACATCAGCACCGTGAACTGTCAGAATGCAATACTCCCAGAGGCAATTAAACCCAGTCATCCCACAGACACATAACTGACCAATCTTCCTGACAATACATTCTGAGGGGGAAGGGGGATATTTTTACGTGGCTTCAGCATCACAACGACTTGTAAAAGAGCGGCATGTTAAAGGTCTTCGGTCTATGGAATTACTTAAGATCAGAAACACCAGGTCAGATCTGACCTGCTCGCTCTAGGCTGTGAGCAGTATTTTTTTCAAAATAAAGGCACCAGTTGGGTACTTAGATAAATCCAGTGCATGGTTCACTGTTGGAAAAAATTGTTTAAATCTAGACATGTCAGTGCGCTTTGAAGAATTGACTCCAAAGAGATAAGTTGACAAATTCTAGTTTTGACCGATAAAATATATTGATGAAAGCTAGGATTCCCAGCCCATAATCAATGTCAGGAGTACAAAATCTTGAAGTTATCTTTTGTAACTTTTAATTAATATGATTTTTTGGGGGAAGGCTTAGAAAGCCACCAGATTTCTACCTGTGTCCACTCAGCAACTGGAAGCATTGCCTTGTTCAAGTGAAGGTTAGCAAGCTCTTGCATTTTCCATTTTTAATTTTTTGCACGTTATTGAGGGATGTATAAGTGAAACCCATGATGGGGCAGTTTCCTTGCTGGCACAGATAACACACTGGGTTCTGTTCCACCAACTTGGAAATGTAAGTGCCGACCTGATAGAAATAAACAACAAAAACTACATTCAATGCTATTCATTCAAAATGCAATGGAAGTGCAGGATGCTGAAACATTCTAATGTTTTCTGAATATAGCCATTAAATTTACTGGCATTGTCAATACTCAGCATTAATCATTGGAAGAATATTCAACATATTTCAAAGACTATTTTTGTTTAGATCCACTTGCTATTATTCCTTAACCCTAACCCATCACGTGATCTTTGCACCAACTAAAGTATAATCATACAATTATGTTTAAGGCACTGTATTTCTGTAATCAGGTCCTAATGATGCAGCAGGAACTGTCTGCATTAATCTTATAAACCTGTAAGATCAGACTTCTCATTTGCAATAATACTGCCAGATTCTTTGGCTCAGTCTTACATGCACCATTGAGGATTTGGTCATGTGAGAGGTAAATGCAAAAACAAACAACAGAATTAATTTTTTTTTAAACTTCAAAATTCCCTGCAGTCCCCTGTTCTTGCTAAAGATGTTCAGCATCAGACTTTACTCCTTTAATGGTAACCAGAGACTTGGATAATGGGGATTTCTGACATTTGACTGCTACTAGGCAGTTTGTGACTTGAATCTGAGTGCAGATAAACAATCCCTGCTCAAGAATGAATAACTTTCAACCTGCATCTGAGGAGAGATACTCAAACCAATAAGTAAAAACAAAATGTTAAAATCCTTTAGTCGATAAATCTTGCTTGTTTATGTGCATTCACAACTCCAGCTCAAGTCTTGGGCAAACAAGTTAAGGGATTTTATGAAATTTCCACTTACCTTGCCTGTTTGCAAATAGGACACAGCTTTAACCTGGCTGAGCAAAGAAAGTCCTGTCTTTCCATCTTCGCAATGCTTGGGCTAAAAACATGAGGAACATCACTCGACCCAAAACATTAACTCTGATTTCTCTCCACAGATGTTGCCAGACCTGCTGAACTTTTCCAGCAATTTCTGCTTTTGTTTCTTATTTACAGCATCTGCATTTCTTTCGGTTTTTATTTAATATGTAACACCTGAGTTGGGAGAAGTGAATCCCTTCCCATCTTTTTCAGCTGAGAAGCCAAAGCTACTCAGCAGTTTCCCAGGGATTGTTGCAATAAAATCAGTCGGAAGAGTAAATATTTGTTACGTTTTTTTTGGCTTTTTTGTCTGTTATGTGGCGTGTGGCAGTTATTTGCTACTCCAAAGGTGCATTTTATCTAATCTTTAGGATTCATACCCTTCAGTTTAAATTTTAAACAAATTAACTTACGGCAAGTGAAAAACGAAGTAAGGTGAGCTCCAAAAGAAAAAACTCAACTCAGCAAGTCGTAAGTTAATGAATATAGAAGTTCAGTAATTTAAATCTTTAACAGCAGCAGTTTAATAAATAGCTTAGTCAGGCTATCTATCAGTGGACTAGTGTACTGACCAAATGTATTTTTAGATACTTGCTTAATTGTAGGATGGTCCTTAAGGTGTATACAGATGATCCATTAAATACTGATGCATCAGAGTCTCCCTGAAGCCAGATATTGTTCAGAAGGCAAGTGTGGAAGTCTTAGCTGGGTTATTCTATGTTGATAGGGAATCAATAGTTCAGAGAAGATCGTGTATCAAGAAGAATGGATGGAATTGTGGAAGTAATCCAAAGAACATGGAATTCCATTTAATTAAAATGGACCAGTTCTTATTCAGTCACCATAGGGAAGAGGCCCTGGTTGGGAAATAATGTGAACATTGAATGTAGTAGCATTATTGCTAACCCAGCATGTCGAGTGTTAGCATTGATAGAGTGGTATCAAACAGCAGCAACCATTATATTCCATGTCCTGCCATTGCATATACACTATTCCCTTGACTGGAATGTAGGTTTTGATGACAGGATCAGTTTGCAGCACCTCTTAGTAACAGAATAAAGGTCACACAAAGCACTCATTCTCATCTGAGGCTCTTTTGTGAAATAGCATGAAAGGTTATCAAGCCACCAGGAGATTGAGAGCTTAAAGCTAAAGCTTTGCAAATATCCCACATTTACACGAGAATCTTGATCAGATAGGAAAACAGTAACTAACCCTTACCAACATTCCAGTACATGCATTATTTGTATCTTCTTTTGCCAAATTATTCTAATAATATTTGAATTAGCATTACAGTTTGATTACACTTCTTGTAAATGTTGAAAAATAGCAACTGAACCAATCGTGAAAGAAATGTATTCTGTATCCTTTGGCTTTATTTCAATCATGTATTATTATTGTGTTATTTCAAAATTCATAACTGGACTAATTATCCAGTTAGGGTTAGCCTAGACAATCTTAAGACTAATTAATGTTTGTGTAATGAAATTAGGAGACACTTGCTTGAGTCATTTGGGCACTGAATGTTTGAAGTTTGTTCAATTGAAAATCACAGTCTAATCCAGTACAAAAAAAGTAAACAGTATGAAAGCAGTGATTTAAATCCTTGCAAAGGAAGAAAGAATCAATTTCTTTACTTGTCACTTAGCAGAATGTTGTAGCTTTTTGGATGGCTGGTACAAAGAAGGGTTGCCCCTCACAGAATTGATCTACGGCTGATATAAATAGCTACATGATATGTGAATGAAGGGCAATGGTTTCATTCTTATAGGCTGCATCCAGGTCCTTACATTAATGCTTCCACTTCCCAAAAAGGAGAAACCAGTAAAACTGCTGAATGATGCATAGTGGTCGGACTCATCTTCTACATTTCTAAATGGAGCTCCAGTAAGGCCAGTATGCTCATTTCCAGGTATTACTGTTGTCTTTTTTAACTTCTTCCCTCTAGGTTACACTTGCTAGTTATCCACCTTGCTTGGAAATCTAAAGAGAACATGGATCAGAAATCTCCAAATAGATTTGGACAAATCTACCCCTCAGTCCCTGGCCCCTTCTAAAATAACGGTTCTGAGCTAAGGCAGCGTTGAAAGTGGTACAATTGGCCACCACTGAACCGTTGTTTGAGGGGGTGGTGGAAACAGGGGACAAAATCAGCCATAATTGACTAATTCTGAAGATACATGTGTTCAGAGTTGCTAGTTTGAACTGAGCCACACTATTCCTTGTACTCAACAGCTTGATAAGAGGGTCTGGTAATGAAGGACTGCTGCAGTAAAATGAACTGCTGGCAGTTATGTAAACTCAGATGAGGGAAAGCAAACAGTGAGGGAAGATGTATAAGGGAATCAAATCCTGTGGACTTCTCACCTGGAACACCTCTTCGTCCTGTACAAGGTCGTTTTGTATTATTATCTTAAATCATGTTTTAACATTAGGCCAGGTTGTACCATTGACCCAGTCAGATTCTTTGAAAGTATGACCTGCAGTTGAAATAGTTCTGTGGCTATTACCATTTTCTGTTTGTGTGGAAATACTTTAATGTGGCTGGGGCCAATTTGTAAAACTGAAAATAGCTGATGCCAATGAAGGATCTTTGCTTACGTTTCTGATTGACAATTGCTTTTCCTGGTTTCGAGATTTGCAAAGAATAGTCACTGTTAGCAGCATCCAGTATATCCAGCAACTGAAAAGAAATCTGAGTCTTTTTTTTGCTAAGTAACATTTTGTACCAAAATTATTTATATGATACTATTCAATAAAATGTTTTTATGTATGGATTTGGTTTCAGTTCTCTTTAGTATTTTTTTTTTGAAAATTCATTCTCACTTTTATGAAAAACCTGCCCAAGACACAGCCATATACAGATTAGAGATTTAGGACACAAATGGGCTGAGTTTTTACAGGATGGATTGGCAGAAATGGATAGAGAGGCCAGTCAATTAACCATTCCCAGTAACCACTTACTGCTCCTGCCTGGCCCCCAAGTGATTTTTTTTTACCAGGTGGCAATTGAGGTGTTGGGTGGCCCCACTCGCCTGTGGGTCAATTAACTGCCACTTAAGGGTCTCCTCCAGCCCCTGCTTGAGGCCAATGTCAGTGCCCAGCCCCATCAAGTGGCCAAGTGAGGTTGGTGGGGAGATGGTGCCTCCTTCAAAAAAGCTACCATGTCCTCTCATCTTCCTTCCCCACCCCCACCCCCACCACCCCCTCAACAACAACATTTCCCCTCTCCCACAGCCCCATTCACCCCGGGCCTTCGTGCCCCTTGCTGTTTGCCTGACAGTTTGGCTACAACAAGACCCCAGACTGGCCTCACTGGTTCTCCCACCCACCCAGTTCCAGCAGGAGCCACAGCTCCCGGTGGGGCAAGACCATTTGGTTGGCCGGCTGCTTTAAGAGGCAGGAATCCTTCCCTGATGGCCACTCACTGTGGGCAAGTCAAGAGAGGGTGAGCTTGCTGTCGAATTGTACACACTTTGTGTGTGTGCATGGGGTAAAATTCAAAACAAAAAAGTGTCAAATGGTGTCACATTGTGCATTAACTTTTGATTAGTTGCTATGAAATGGAAGGAGATTTGAAAAGTGTGACAGATTTTATACGTTTTTGAAATGCGAATTGCACCATGATAAAACACAGAGATAACACAGTGTGGAGCTGGAGGAACACAGCAGGCCAGGCGGCATCAGAGGAGCAGGAAAGCTGACGTTTCAGGTCAGGACCCTTCTTCAGAAATGATTTGGCCTGGCCTGCTGTGTTCCTCCAGCTCCACGCTGTGTTATCTCTGACTCCAGCATCTGCAGTTCTTAAAATGCAGGTTTGATTTGATTTATTGTTGTTACATGTACCCAAGTACAGTGAAAAGTCTTGTTTGTGAGCAGTACAGGCAGATCACAGCAAACAAGGACATGCAGATCATAGATCACAGAGTGAGGTATACAAGGGTACAGCTACACAGGAGGTACACAAAAGCAAGATCAACATTATTTGCAATTAGAGATGTCTATTCATCAGTCTAATAACAGCAGGGAAGAAGCTGGTCTTGAACCTGCTGGTGCATGTGTTCAAGCTTCTGTACCTTCTGCCTGATGGAAGAGGTTGGAAGAGAGCATTACTGGGATGGGAGGGGTCTTTGATGATGTTGGCAGCCTTTCCACAACAATGAGAAGTTTAAATGGAGTCCATGGATGGGAGGTTGGTTTCCCTGATGGTCTGGGCTGTGCACACAACTTTCTGTAGTTTCTTACAGTCCTGAGCAGAGCAGTTGCCATACCAGGCCATGATGCACCAGGATAGAATGCTTTCTACGGTGCATATGTAAAAGTTGGTGAGTGCCCTTATGGACATTCCAAATTTCTTAAGCTGCTTGAGGAAGAAGAGGCATTGTTGAGCCTTCTTGACTGTCGCATCTGCATGGGAGGTCCAGGACAGATTGGAATGGTTAAACAGAAAGTGGGAGTGTAGGTCTGGATGTTTCACTCAACTAAAGTCTAATCGCATCATCTCTAGGATTTGACCATCTTCTTGGTCTCTATGTGGTTGTTGTGAAAATTTACTTCTATTCATTAATGGGATGTGGGCATCACTGCCTGGGCCAGCATTTAGTGCCCATTCCTAATTGCCCCTTGAGCAGTGCGGGTGAGCTAACTTCTTGAACCGCCCCAGTCCTTGCAGTGCAGGGGCACCCACAGTGTTGTTAGAGAGGGAAATACATTAGCTGCCCAGCCGGTTTCTTGAGTGCGAAATTTCAGTGTCCACCAGTTGAGACTTGTTCAAAGGCTTGATCAGGAGCAATGATCCTCCAAACTGTCCCCACCAGGGGTGGGGCAAGAGTGGGGAGGTGGGCATGTCTGTTCAGTAACCCAGAATGTATCACATAAGACAATAAACTGACCCAGCACAAAAAAGAAAATTACAGGGGAATCTTAGGTTAGGGACCAATCACTCTGCTTGATAATTATTTCTCCACGTGCCGCTTTAATTTCTCATTCAGAGTCATTCAGGTATACATGAGGAGACAATGACATCGTGATATTTCAGTGGTCCATGCTAATGTTCTAAGGACAAGGGTTCAAATCTCACAGCAGCTGGTGGCATTTTAAATTCAATTAATAAAACTAGAAAATTAGAAAATCTGGACTTGGGAACTAGGCATGAAATTAACATCAATTGTTGTAAAAGCCCATGTTCTTTAGGGAACGAAGTCTCATGTCCTGGCCTAGTGTGGCCTACATGTGACTCCATACCTACAGCAATGTGGTTGACTCTGCCCTTTAAGATGAGCAAGCAGGTTCCTCATTGCAGGGGTAAAGAGGGATGGGCAACAGATATTGGTCTTGCCAGCAATGCCACCATTCCACAAAAGAATAAAGAAAATAAACAGCTGACCTACTTCACAGGTTTGAATTCAATAGATACTTTAATCAAGCAATGATAAGACCATAAAATGTAGGAGCAGAAGCAGACCACTCAGCCCATCGACTCTGCCATTCAATGAGATAATGCCTGATCCAACAATCCCCAACTCCAATTTCCTGCCTTTTCCTCATTACACCTAATTCCCTTCCTGATTAAAAATTGGTGTATCTCAGCCTCGAATATACTTAGTGACACAGCTTCCCAGCCATCTGTAACAAACAGAGGGTGCTACTGAGAAGCGACTGAGGAGGATTCTGGGAGCAGTCGGCTCAGTCATCACAATTGATGAGGTGAGCGCAAAATAGCTGGTGTGAGCAAAGTGAAAAAAAGGTCAGGGTAGCACGGAGGCTGTGTTCAGCACTGCTGCCTCACAGTGCCCGGGTGCAGGGAGGGCGTTTTGATGCTACCCTCAGGCAAGTATCTGTGTGGAGTTTGCATGTTCTCTCTCTGTCTGTATGGGTTTCCTCTTGGTGCTCTGGTTCCCTTCCACAGTTCAAAGATGTGCAGGTAAGGTGGACTGGCCATGCTAAATTGTCCTATAGTGTCCAGGGATGTGCAGGCTAGATGGATTAGCCATGGGGAAAATGCTGGGTTACAGGTACTATGGGGGAATGGGTGTGTGGGATGCCGTTCAGAGGGTCGGTGTGGACTTGATGGGCTGAATGGCCTGTTTCCACACTGTAGGGATTCTATGATTCCACAGATTGACTAGCCTCTGAGAAAGAGAGAGAAAAAAAATCCTCCTCATCTCTGTCTAAAATGTGCACCCTCTTATTCTGAGATAATGTCCTCTGCTCCTAGTCTCTGACTCTGGGGTTATCATAAAAGTACATTGATTAGAGGCCTTGTCCTCAACTGCTGAGGTCCTTAGCTGTGGAATTCCATTTCTATAGCCTCATTCTCCCTTTAAGATGCTCCTTAGAACGTAAAGCCTCCGTCCTAATATCTCCTCATGTGGCTTGCCGTCATATTTGGTTCCTGTGAAGAGTTTTTTGGTGTGTGTGATCACATTTAAGAATGCTATCTCAATACTTGTCGTTGTTAGGATTGTCCCAAAGTGCAGCAGAAATGTAAATGCCTTCAGTCTAAATGGATTATAATTTTGTTGCACTGTAATACACCAGGGAAATCTCCCAGTGTAGGGCTAGAAAGGAGGTAACATTACTCTGTATAAACTCTTTGCTATACCTATCCTGGGAGTGCTTAAGTGCTGGTAATGGTTTGAGAATGTCTAGGATATTTCATTTCACCTAGCTAACATAATTTTGATACGCACAAAATTCATTATATAAAACAGAAAATGTTGAATATTTTGCCTTCATTTCAGGAAACACTTAATATTCTGTCAATCTACATTCATAAATGGTTTCATGAGCCCGTTTATAATTTCATTTTAATGACTAGAAAAATTACATTCCATTCATTCTGTACACTGATAGAGTCCGTTTTTTGAAAAACGGACAAAATAATCTGATGACCTGGAGTCTGTGCGGAAAAAAAATATTCCCGCTACAGGAATGGCTCATCTTTTGCAAGTGGTGAATTATTCAGTGCTGCAGAATAATTTAAGTTTTTGTAGTCAGATCCGTAATACAGAGTGTATTTCAGGAAAGTACCTCACTAGGGCAGTTTGACTTCAAGGGGGATCTTGTAAGAACTACCAGTTGTTCCTGCACAGGTCTCTGAAACTGTTGGTCCTGCAGAATATGGCATGCTCAAAATTAATGCAACTGCATTGCTTCTATTCCGAAGAAGTCACATTCCATTCAAAATGTTAACTCTATTTCTCCCTCCACAAAGGCTGGGTTTCTCCAGCATTCTCTGCCTTTATTGCATCTTTAGAGTATGTCCCAATACACAGTCTCTGTAACAAATATGGCTGTTGTAGACATATATCAAATTGTTCCTTGATGATAAAAACCTAAAGAACTGCAGATGCTGTAAAGCAGAAACAAAAACAGAAATTGTTGGAAAAGCTCAGATGATCCGGCAGCATTTGTGAAGAGAAATCAGAGTTAACCAGGTCCAAAACATTAACTCCAATTTCTCTTTAAAGATGCTGCTAGACCTACTGAGCTTTACCAGCAATTTCTGTTTTTGTTCCTTGATTATATCTGGATTACTAAAACTTAAACCATGGAAATATTTTGTGGCTTCTTTTAGCTTTCAAGATTCTAAAGCTATCAATATTTCTAATCCCACTAAATCATAAATTGTTGTCAGCTGGTTTGTCTACTTTTTGTTGTTTAAACGGATGAGCATTGTGAGATGGTGAACACAGTTCTTTCAGATATGTGAGCAAGTGACCACAAAAGGTATCAAT